GAGTTTTTTTGCGATAGGGCACATGCGCTCCCCAGACAGACAGAGAGAGACAGAGAGAAAGAAAATGAGAAATCACCCCCCGGGGGGATGGCCACACCGCAATCCCTTCTCCTCCATTCTCCTCTCAGGATCTTGGGCACGCACGCACACGCACCCGGCGTGAGTTTTAAGCCACCTGGTCCGGGCCACGAACCGCGGTCGGCTACATGGGATTCCAACGACATAGCCATTAGGCTAACTGCTGGTCCCAAGATATCTTGTTTTTTAATATACACATTTATAGCTACAAATGGTCCCCATTAGCACTTTTTTGCTGAGTCCCATAAATTTCGATAGATTTTTAAAATTTACATTCCATCATTGTACATCTTTATAACATCAGTATGGCTTTTGAAAGAATGCACGTGGTACATGACAACCCAAACAAGGCTAACAGATAGGTGTCGTTTGTCTCTAAGTATCCATTTCCCTTGCGACTTCTCCTTTGATTCATTGGTTGTTTACGAGTATGCTGTTCAATTTCCCCAATTTTTTGAAATTTCCAATTTTTCCTTTGTGGTTGGATATTTTTAAAAATAATATCTATCTTTTAAAATCTATTGTGGGGGGCCTGGCGTAGTGGTTAGGGTGCTGGACTCCCACATGGCTAACTGCGATTCAAGTCCTGGACCTGGTGGCTTGCTTTTTCACTTTCCCTTCTCTCTCTCTCATGCTGTCTTTCTCTGGTCAAACTAAAAAATAAATAAAGTTAAATAAGATAATTCTTAAAAAAAAAAAAATCTCTTGAGGCATCCAGCAGGTGGCATGGTGGTGGAGGTTCTGGACTCCCATTTGACCAACCACAGTTCGAGTCCCAGGTCCTGTGGCTTGATAATCATGTTGAACACATGTGCATATGTACCCAGAATCCCAAGAGGAGAATGGAGGAGAAGAGATTGGGGCACAACTATCCTCCCTGGGGTGGTGGTGGTGGTGATTTCTCACTTTCTCTCTCTCTCCCCCACACCTCCCTCAAGGTCTCTCTTGGTGAGTGTATGTGCCCTATGGGAAAAATATCTATGGAGATTTAGTTTGTGGTCTAATGTATGGCCTATTCTGATGAGTGTCCCATGAGCACTAGAGATGCATGTGTGTGCTGTTGTTAGGTAAAGTGTAACGTATTATATATATCTGTAGCATTTGACTGGCTTACTGTATTGCTCATGTCCTCTGGTTCCTTACCTACTTCCTGTCTGATTGTTCTATCCATTATTGGGAGGGTACTGAAATCTCCAATCCTTACGGCAAAATAGTCTGTTTTCCCTTGTAATTCTGTCAGGTTTTGCTTTCTGCATTTTGACGGTCTGACGTTAGGTGTGTCAGTGTTTGTAACTGCTATATCTTTTTGCCGTATTGAATCTTTTATTAATGTATAATGTCCTTTCTTGTCTCCTGTGACCTTTTTTGATCTGTTTTGTCTGATATTAGTACAGCTATCCTTGTGCTCTTCGGGTTATTATTTGCATGGCATATCTTGTTCTTTCACTTTGAATCTATTTTTCTTTGGATCTAAAGTGAGTCTTTGTAGACAGCATATAGTTGGGTCATGTGTTTTTATCTGTTCAGCTCATCTGTTTTGTTTTTAAGATTTTTTTTTTGCCATAGAGCGTGTGCACTGGGCTTAGAGAGACAGTGAGAGGAAAAGTGAGAAATCATGCCGCAGCGGGGATGGCCACACCACAATCCCTTCTCTTTTGTTCTTCTAGGATTTGGGGCGCGCGTGTACACACACACACACACGGCATAATTTTCTTTCTTTCTTTCTTTCTTTCTTTCTTTCTTTCTTTCTTTCTTTCTTTCTTTCTTTCTTTCTTTCTTTCTTTCTTTCTTCTTTCTTTCGGAGAGGCTTTTGCTATAGGGCACATGCACTCACCAGAAAGACAGAGAGAAACAGAGAGACAGAAAGTGAGAAATCACCCCCCAGGAGGTTGGCCACACCGCAATCCCTTCTCCTCCATTCTCCTCTTAGGATCTTGGGCATGCATGCACACGCGCCCGGCGTGAGTTTAAACCACTGAGTCTCGGACTCGAATCATAGTCGACTACATGGGAGTCCAGCGACATAGCCATTACACCATCTGCTGGTCCCCACATGGCATAATTTTCAAGCTGCCAATTCTGGGACTGAAACTACAGTCAATCATGTGGGAATCCAGCACCTTAAACACTACGCCACCTGCTGGCTCCTCATCTCTCTTTTTTTATGGGAGACTTTGACTCATTTATACTTAAAGTAATTAATGAGGAGTGGAGACTTACTTCTGTCATTTTGCTAATTGTTTTCTAATGCCTTACAGCTTTTCTGACCCTCCTTTCTGCATTACTGTCTTGTCTAGTTGACTTTTTTTGGTAGTGAAATATTTAAATTTCTTTCTTATTTTCTTTTATGTACATCCTCTGGCTATTGTCTTTGTGATGACCAAAGGGATTATCTTTAACACCTGAACATTATCACATTCTAACTTGACTTTATGTCAGTTTAACTGTAATAACATAGGAAAACTTGGCTCCTTTACAGCTCTGTACACTCACTTTTCAGTGGTTAATGTCACAGAATTACATCTTTGTTTGTTTGTTTGTTTTGGTATAGGGCACATGCACTCACTGGAGAGAGAGAAAAAGTGAGAAATCACTGCCCAAGGAGAAGGGTCACTCCACCATCCCTTCTCCTCCATTCTACTCTCTGGACTTGGGGCACCGATTGCACATACCTGGTGTATTTTTCAAGCCACTAGTCCGGGACTCAAACCGCACAGTTTGCTATCAAACCAGACAGTTGGCTCTCTGGCTGCCCTAACCTCCATGCCACCTGCTTGCCCACAAAATTACATCCTAATATACTGTGTTTCCTAAAACATAAACTAAGAATTCGTTTAAATGTCTCTTAAATTATATAGAAAACAAGACGTGGAATTAGTCTCATTAGTCTCTTTCAATTATGTAGAAAATGAAATGTGGGATTACAAACTGAAGTTCTAATAATACTAGCTTTTAATGTTTAATGTGTTTTTAATGTACTAATCTCATAAATGATTGGAAAATAAAACATGGAGGTACAAGCCACAGTTAGAATAACACTAGCTTGTATAAATGCCTGCATGTTTACCTTTATCAGTATCTATTTCTTCACATGGCTTCGGGTTCCTGTCTAGTGTCCTTTCTTTGGATCCTGCAGGACTCCCTCCCTTGAGCAATCTCGCAGGGTAGATCTAGCGGCAACAAACTTCTTGCAGGATGGCCTTTGTGATAGTATCCAGGTTCGGGGGGTTTCAGACAAAGAATTAAACAGAACACTCAAATAGCAAAAGGAAAAGGTAGTTTATTAAGTAAAAGTGAAAGTACATTCCCGAGAGGTAAGAGCAGGCCTGAGTGGACAGGGAGAGTGGCTCCAAAGGCCGTGGCAGGTACCTTCCGCAAGGTGTATCATTGTTAACTTAGGGCATGTCGACTGCTCACTGTGTGGGCCCACTGATGGTTCTCATCATCCTGGCTCTCTGAGACATGGCTGGGCCCCCCGACTCATCTCATCGACTCTGTCAAACGAGACTTAATCAGCTAGACCCCCCTCCCCGCAGCTCCTACTTATATTACCTTGGGCCGAGAGTTTTCCTCCCTGACTGGTTTTTCTATTTAGCCTCATGGGCAGATGCTCCAGCCCCTTACCTGTGTCCATTTCTAGCTTTCTCCTGCCTCATTTCCTCAGCTTTTGTGAATCTAAGAATGTCTTAATTTCTCCCTCATTTTTTTTTTTTCTTTATGAGAGAGAAGGAGAAAGGGAGAGGGACAAAGGTAGGTATTTCTGACAGGGTCTCATCACATCATGATGCTCCTGCACCGGCCTCCCAGCTAGCCAAGATTACAGGCACGCACAACCACTCCTGGCCTGTTCAGGTTGACCTGGGAACCAAAACCCAGCCTTCCATGCTGGTGCTGCCGCTGTGTGCTACCACAGCCCGACCTCTTTCCTCATTCGCAAGGACAGTTTTTGTTGGATGTAGGGTTCTTGATGGAGTTTTTCTCTTTTAGCACGTGGAATATAGTAGTTGAAAAGGGGCCTCCCTCACTCACAGTCTTCCTGCAGAGCGGAATGAGTCTGTGGGAGGAGATCAAGGGACCCAGGAAAGTTCCTGCAGGACATGAGAGAGCTCACTGGGGCCAGGCCCTGGGCAGGCAGTGGCCCTGATTGAGTGGTCTGATTCCTGAAGTCATCCTGAGTCACCTTCTGGTCAAAAGCCTAGAGTCAAATTGACTTTAGTCAAATAAATACTAGCCAGACACAGTGCTCGGTGCTATGGGGGACCTGAGGGTGGCGCGAGTCCACAGAGCAGTGGGGACGGACAGGGCTAGTGCAGGGCAGTTGTGGGAACATGGAGAGAAGGATGTTGAGGACAAGGAGACTCACCCCAGCAAAACAGGGAGACGGCACCCACCACCCGGCTCAGAAACAACACGAGGTCCTGGTTGGTCACACCCACACTGAGGAGGCTCTCTCTGTGGCCACAGCCCCACCCCATCTGCAGACCTCCTTCCTCCCTGTCCCGTCAAGCTCATCTCATCTGCCCTCTCTGTCAATAGCCTCCCCTCTCCTGAGCTGGTCTCTTGCAGGCGGGCTCTCCTCTGCCCCCCTTCCTGCCTGCCAGTCGCTAAGGGGATAGAGGGAAGCTGCTGGACCCCAAGTCTCATTCCAAGGACCTTCCCATAGGGGTGCCACTTCAGGTCCAGACCCTGGAGGACTTCAGTGTCCGCACACTCTATGACAAGCTGGAGGACCAGAGCCTGCACGTGGCAGCTCAGCTGAGCAAGCACAGGAGCGACGCACTGGCCTTCTACAGGGCTGCCAGCCGGCAGCTCCAGGGTCTCCAGGTCAGTCCCATTCCCAGATGGCTCCCTAAGAACAGCCACCCACCCTTACCCCTTTGGGACACCACTTAAGCCAAAGATGTCCATAACTAAAAACAGTGATGCAGCTCTGGTTCTTCCAGGACCTTCTGCAGGGCCTCAGTGCCACTGACCTGCAAGTGCTGGGAAGGGGTGGAGATCCCAAGTCTGGGGCCAAAGCCATTGCCAGGACAGACTCTGGGCAGCATGAAGAACCACAGGGTGGCCACACCACAGCTGCTCCCGGGGAGTGCGGACAGCCTCCTCCAGGTGAGAGGTCAGGCTCGGGGGCGGAATAGCAGGTACGAAGTCACAACACTGGCTCTCACTGCTTCGCCATGCATCTCACGACTATCTTTCACCTGTGGCTCTACACCCCTGTGCGGTAACAAGACTGCACCAGGCCAGGGTGACTCAAACAATAGGTACATAGTGGCACTGTTTTGTCAGCACCAAGAGAGGCCTGAGCTGTTCTTCAGGGCAGAAGGAAGCCGGCCCCTGCCCTCCCATGAGACCAGTTTCTCCGGCTTCCCTAAGTGATGTTGTAAACCCAGGACAAGAATTACCGCATTGAATTCATTCAATTGTCAAAGAAACCTGTGACATGTGGCCACCACCTCCATTTTATAGTTAAGGAGACTGAGGCTTACAGAGCTAAGGACCCACAGAGGCTGGGCCAGGAGCCAAGCTCTGCTCCACACTCCCACACCCCCTCTGCATCTCTAGCTGAAAGGGGCAGAAAGGGACTTACCTCACCAGCCCCAAGGTCTCCCCATGGACCCCCTGGCCCTTTCTGGGGAGACCAGCTGGCTGGCTGTTACCCTCATTTCCCTCAGTGAAGGTCACCCTCTGGCCAGGGGTGGGTCCCATGAAAATATGTTTGGGCCCAAGGTTGCTACATTTGGGTCACTTTTCCCATGACTGTGACCTGGGCTACGGGGACCCTCTAATACAGGCCCCAGAAGGGAGAGGAGGTGCCGGTCAGAAAGACGCCAGAATCTGCCAGCTTGCTCCACAGTGTGGAGCCCGGGTCAAGCCTTCTTGATCTTGATGGTTATTTATTTCTTCCTTGACTGAGAGAGAGAGAGAGACAGAGAAAGAGAGAGACGTGCACCCCAATACCCCGATTCATCTCCAGTCTCAGCCTGCCCCAGACTGTGACACAGGAAGGCTTCAAGAAACTAAGCCAGGACCTTTCCCATGTGGATGCAGCTGCGTTAGCACTGAGCCACCACCTAGCCGCTAATCCCACTCTTAAACTTCTTAATGCATTTCTGGGTTGGTTTATCTGGGCACGTGATCCGGAGATGGAAACAGACCAAGAAAGCCACTCTCCTCAGAAACCTTCCCGAGACTAAGCTGTGAAACTGTGAATGGGAGTCTGAAGGTGCCTCTCCATACCCTGGGAACTGGCTGTAGAGGGCTGAATGGAGCCTGCCCTCTGTCTGCAGCACTGCTAACTGCAGGGCAAAGGTTCTGTTTTGTTGTGAACGAGAGGCACTCCCTCCCCATCTCCCCGAATGAAAAAAAATGTGATAAAACTTCATTAGATTAATAAGAAAACGATCAATTAATCAACACTTTGGTGAAGTTATTCTCTAGTCCATAAAGAACCTGCCTGGGCGGGGATTCCAAAATCTCACTGCTGAGCCCCAAGAGACTAGCGGGTGGGCGCCATCGGGTGTGGCAGCTGTGGGTGCCACAGTGTGGCTGGGGGCAGGTCACAAAGTAAATGCAGCACTTAGAAGCTAGAAGCAAATAGTTAGAACAACAAGAAGTAACAGCTGCATAGAAATAAAGGATGGGAATGTCTTTCATCATTTTTTAGTTAAGAAGAAAAGCTCAGGACTGTTTAAAGTAAGTGCATAGGAAAGGAAGAAATCTTGTATGAAAACATGAACGTTCACACACAAAGCACCGCCCTGTGCTTGGCAGGGTTCTAGCCATGCTACTACAGCATAGCAGAGTGACCACCAGGCAGGAGGGAAAGGGAAGTGGGCTCTGGCATGCGGGAGAAGCACAGTTAGAAAGTGATTGCACATTGGGACCAGCAGTTAGCGTAATGGCTATGTTGCTGGACATATTTGACCGCAGTTCGAATCCCGGACCCGGCAGCTTAAATTCGCGCCGGGCACGTGTGCATGCGTGCCCAAGATCCCGAGAGGAGAATGGAGGAGAAGGGATTGCGGTGTGGCCATCCCCCTGGGGGGGGATTTCTCGCTTTCTCTCTCTCTGTCTCTCTCTGTCTTTCTGGCGAGCGCATGTGCCCTATAGCAAAAACCTCTCCAAAAAAAAGAAAAAGAAAAGAAAGTGATTGCACATACACAACCATGCACACGACGTGGGGTGGGGCATCCGTGGTGGGGTGGCATGAATGTCTCCAGGCCCTTCTGTCCTGTGTTCTCCTTCCCCAGGTGGCACTCCCAGTGTCTCTCTCCTGGGCTTTCAGCCGGAACTCAATAGAGCCATCGCAGCCCTGGCGTCCGCACTTTCTCGCAGCCGCAGGACACCAGCTGGAGTCAGTAGAAAGGTGAAAGGTCCCCAGGGGCCAGCAGAGCAGCCTGTGTGTGCAGAACAGCTTCCCTGCCCCTGATCCTGCGGACACTCAGCACGTGCTCACACACCACACACATACCTGAGGCCTCGCACTCGGAGCCTCCGCGCCCCAGCCAGAACGCTGAGGCACTCTGCCTGTGCTTATAGATTAGCCCCTGGCTTCAGCTCATTTCCTCCAACACGTTGGTCAGGATGAGTCCCCATGCTGCTAGTTGGTCCTCTGGCCCATCACACAGAGCTGAAGGGTTCTTGTCCTCAAAGCACCTGTGGAAGGGCAGGAGGACGTGGCAGGCCCCTGTTCAGGAACCCCCACCTCAGCCTGGCTGGCCTATGCTGTGTCTTCTGTGCCATAGACCAGAATCCCACTGAGGTGGCACTGTCGCCTGAGGCCTGGGGGCATTGAAGAGGGAGGTCATGGGCCACACTGGATCTTACCTCTCTTGGTCAGGCAATCATGCCAGTCATGCTCAGATCGGGGGACACGTCACTGTTGCTTTAGTTGAGCAACATCCAACCATCGTTGCCCTTTTCTGGGCCCCGAACCCTGCAGACAAAGTCACAGGACTGTCTGTTTCTTCCAAGGCCTCAGGTCATCTAGGTGGACAGCTTCTCTCCACCTGCCAGCAGGATGAGCTCGTGACAGACCGGCCTCTGTCTTCTTCCAACGAGGAGCGCCAAAACGCAAGGTGGGGCAGGAATCACCCAGCTGTCACAGCAGCAGATGTGGGCTTGGGAGTGGCCTTAGCTCTCTGGCATAGCGATATTGTTTTTTTGTTTGTTTGTTTGTTTATTTTGTCACCAGAACCCAATTTAAAGCCCTAACACATTCAAACCCAGCTACAAGAGTTCCTGGTTCCCCGCCCTTAGTAATCCCTCCCTGCTGTTGTCACTCTGGTTTGCCTCAGGGTCTGCTGGCTTGAGTAACTTGTCAGAACACATGTCATTTACCTGAGATGTTCTCGCCCATGGAAATGAGACCAGACTCACTCTGGCAGACCCCAGACTTCACCACCACCCGCTACCCACCCACCTACCTCTCACTCTTCCCTTCTATCCACAATCTCTTCTTGGGGTAACTGGGTGGGTGGGGGTGTCTCTGTTTTTTCCCCAAGTTAATTCAGAGGCCGAGATGGATTTGTTTGTGTCGATTGACTGGATTCCCATTGATCTGTTTAGATACATGGTCTGTTTTTTCCTTTCCCTGGTTCTTTGTTTTGCTCTCTTTTCTCCTTCTCTCTCTCTCTTTGGAGACTGCATGTGTCCTATATAAACATTTTTTTTTATGTAAAAGAAATGTCCAATTGTTTTTCTCTTGTTGGTCTGTGTTTTGTTAGTCTAATTTGTTTATTTACTTTCTGAGCACTGACCAGAGAGAGGCAGAGAGAGAGAGAAAGTGAGACATCACCCCTCCTCCCCAAGGAGAACAGCCGTGCTGCAGTCCCTTCTCATCCAGTCTCCTCGTGAGATCTTGGGCATGCATGCACATGTGTCTGGTGTGATTTTCAAGCTGTCAGGTTCAGGTCTCAAATCACAATCGGCCATATGGGAGTCCAGCATCTTCACCACCTGCTGGCCCTGTGAGTCTAATTTATATGGCCCCAAGTGGAGACTTAAGTGGCACAGAAAAAGGATTTCTTTGCCTCCTCTTCAACAACCTGGCTGGCCGTGTGGCTAGAACAGCCAGCATTTCTTCTGTGGCCCAGTGGCCGCTCTCTACCCTCTCTTTTCCGGCTTGGGAGGGGGTTTGCCCCATGTGATGACACAACCCTGCCATGCCTTCATGTGCAGCCTCTTATTATGCTCTCAGGTTTTCTTTCTTTCTTTCTTCTTTCTTTCTTCTTTCTTTCTTTCTCTCTTTCTTCTTTTTTTTTTTTAAGGTTTTTGCCATAGGAAACATGCACTCTCCAGAGACAGTGAGAGGGAAAGTGAGATATAACGCCCCCAAGGGTTAGGATGGCCATGCCACAATCCCTTCTCCTCCGTTCTCCTCCTAGAATTTTGGGCATTTTTGCATACATGCCCTGCATGATTTTCAAGCCACCAGGTCTGGGACTCGAACCTTGGTCAGTCATGTGGGAGTCCAGAGTCTTAACCACTACATCATCTGCTTGTCCCTGCTCTCAAGTTTTCTATCCGGAATGTGCCAGCTGTTTCCTGCTGGCAACCTGGTTGATGCATTGCTGTTTTGCAAGGTTCTTCCTCCTCCAATGGGTGGGTTGAACTGAGACACGGAGAATTGGAAAAAGACACGAGGCCCTGATGTGATGTTGTTTATTGGCTAAGTTAGGGGAGCTCACGGAGCTCACAGTAGCACTCACAAGTACTTCCTCCATCTTGGAGCTCACAGTGCACAGAGCTAAGCTAAGCTGAGCCAAGCTAAGGCCACCAGGGCTGAGCCATGCCAAGGCCACCAGGGCTGAGCTAGCAGAACCAAGGCTGAGCAGAGCAGAGCTAGCTAGCTCACCAGATACTCCTTTTCTTAAAGGTGCTGCAGACAATAGTGGCTCACTGCCAAAACCGAACTACTGCGCAGGCTCAGGAGCACTACATACAAGGCAGGAAACAGCAAAGTCATAATCACAGAGCAAGCACACGAGTGCACTACAGCTAATAACATCAACTGTTTATCCTGTGGCCTTCCAACAAGATAAGATAGGAAGTGAGGGACTCCATTTTCCC